ATGTTAGGGAACCCCTCAACAAAAGCACCAAAAGATAAACATAACACTCTCCACTTTCACCAAGTGAATGTAGGAAGGGGTGGGGAGAATACAGATATAGCATTGCAGCAGGCATGGGACGCCGGTGCACATGTAGTCATGGTACAGGAACCATGGACAAGGAAGAAAGAGGGGGGTTTTATCACCAAAAGTCACCCTGGATACAATAGCCACATACCGTTTGGAGGAACAGACGTCCGGCCCCGCGTGAGTACTTTCACACGCAAAGGCATTGGTGCGACTCAATTTTTTCCGCCGTCATCAGGCCCGACATCTGACTACTGTTTTGTAAAGATGGGCAGCCTGACTTTCGTCAACGTGTATCGTGCCCCGGGCACCAGTGGAACCTTGGAGCCCTTACTTCGGTGGGTAGTCAGAGGACTCGTGGTTGTTGGTGGCGATTTCAATTCTGTGTCACAGCATTGGCAGCCGCAAACGACAATCCAGTACGGCAATGGAGGCCAGATCATGGAATGGGCAACAGCTCACGATATGGATCTAGTTAGCATTGTCGGAGAGCCAACGCATAGGGATGGGAACGTGCTGGACTTAACGTGGAGCAACACAGCTGCAACAGCATCAGTCTCCAAGCAGTATCACTGTACCTCAGATCACTCGACCATCGAGGGTACAGTCTTAAACCCTACAGTATCAGACCTATCTGGAATTGTAAGGAACACTCGTGTCAGCGATGAGAACCTAAAGGAATTCAACCGATGTGTCAGCCAATGGACCAAAGCTGCCCCTCTGGACAGTGTCATGGACATCGAAAAATTCACAGCTAATCTCCTGCAGGCTCTTGCAGACGCGCTGAAGATTGCGGGGAAAGTCCCAGCCATTGAAAGCGGAAAAACCGGGCCCTGGTGGAACGATGAATGTCGCATCAAGTGGCAGGATTACAAGGCAGCGAGAGAAAATCCGGACCTTGTAAGACAGGCGCGTAAAAGCTTTAGAGCCGTTGTGCGAAAAGCCAAGCGAGAGTACTGGAAGAGGCAAGTGGAGGCAGTTACAACTGACGCACAGGTATTCAAGCTCATGAGATGGGCTAAGCCTCGACCAGCAGCTGAGCCCCCTCCTTTGCAGATTGAGGAAAATCGGTGGCTTTCAGACCCGCGAGAGCGGGCTAGTGCGCTACGAGACATTCTCTTGGCAAGATTTAGCAGCGAGAACGACATCCCAACCTGGGAGAATGGACAGGAGGTGCGCATTCCATGGGATACGGAAATATCACTGGAAGATGTGACAAACGCTACCATCTCTGTCAATGATACGGCACCGGGAGCGGACAAAATAACAGTACGTTTACTGAAATCCTGTTGGTACCACCTCGGGCCTCTGGTCAAGGATCTCTACCAGGCCTGTCTAAAAATCGGCCACTTTCCGACGGCATTTAGGGTGGCAGATGTTGTGCTTCTTCCCAAACCGGGACGAAATCTATCAACTGCCAAGGGCTGGCGACCAATCTCGCTGCTGTCGAGCTTAGGTAAAGGACTTGAGCGTCTAGTTGGCAAGAGAATGGCATGGCTGACGATAAGTCACCAAGTTGTTCATCCGCAATTATTCGGCTCAGTACCAGGACGATCTGCGGTCGACCTTGCATCCTGTGTAATCCATGATGCTGAGGCGGCCATGAGAAGCGGAAAATGTGCGGCTATGGTCACACTAGACATCCAAGGTGCGTTTGATGCAGTCCTTCACAACCGACTACTCCAACGCCTTCGAGAACAAGGCTGGCCACTATCTCTGTGCCGGTTCATTCAGACCTTTCTCTGCCAACGAAAAGTCCAGGTGAAATACCGTGGTGGAACCACAGACGAGAAGATGCTGGAATGTGGAGTACCTCAGGGCTCGCCACTGTCACCACTTCTTTTCATGCTCTATATCGCTGTGCTTTTTAAGGACCATGGACTAACGAGCAGGTTTGGCTATGCTGATGATCTAGCCATCATTAGAGTTGGAAGCACCGCGGCCGAAGCTATCGCAGCAGTCCAAGAAGACCTCGACAGCCTCGTCCTTCTCGCCAGAGAACACAGGATCGAATTTGACCCGGCAAAGTCGGAACTTCTAGTGACCGGAGGAGGTCCTAGGAAGAAAATCAACACAGCCAACCTCTCCATCTTGGTGAAAGATCGCCGGATCGAACCGTCGCCTCATATCCGGTGGTTAGGAGTCTGGCTTGACACTCAGCTGAACTTCAAGCAGCATGTACAGGAATGGACTGGAAAAGCTAATCGTCTAGTCCACTTTTTACGACATATAAACGGAGTTCAGCGCGGGGCAGCACCCGGACCTCTAATTCGTGCGGTACAGGCATGCGTTCTGAGCACAGCTCTCTATGGGGCAGAAGCGTGGTGGCCGGGTCTTTCTCGAATAACCACCATCCGAGATAAAGAAGTCGGCACTGGAGTAGGGTGGCACACATCTCTGCTGGACAAAACTATCACGAAAGCTATACGAGTAGCACTCCCAGCGTGGCGTACCACTCCCAATAGCGCTCTTCATCGTGAAGCGGGAATTCCCCCGGCATCAATAATTCTCCAACAAAAGATGTTGCGGTCTGCAGCTCGAATGCGAAGAATGGATGCCTGGCACCCTCTAGCCCTTCGGGCGGCGGAGGACCCGAAAGATACTATAAAACGCCTAGGTCTTAGATCGGGACAACGAGATCGCTTGTTCAGACAGCCAGAAAGGTACATGACACGCCTACAAATAAGCGTGCGTCAAGTTCCGACAGCGGAAGGCCCTGGAAAGCTCTACTTTCCCCATGGTCTCCCGGCATCGACACCAGGCAGTCGGGAAAAAGAAGCTAGGTCAGGAAGCATCAAACGATGGTTAACTTCCCTTCCAGCCAACGCAGTCTGTGCCTTCTCTGATGGATCCTCGTCGGGTCCCGGGCAATCAGCTTGGGGTTATGTGGTATACCAAGGAGGCAAACTAGCTGGAAGTGGCTCGGGTCCGCTTCCCGGAGCAGAGGTATTCGACGCAGAAGTTGTAGGCGCTATGAAAGCCTTGGAGGCTGCACTAGCGGTGGGAGAAGGCTTTCCGGTCAGCATTCTTCTGGACAATCAAGCGGCCGTCAGAGCGCTCGAACAAGGAAGATCCAATTCCTCGCAGACAGTGGTGGACAAGTTCTCATCGCTGAGACATAATAGGCGTGTAGAAATACACTGGATACCTGGTCATGTGGGGATCCAAGGCAACGAAGAAGCCGATAAGCTGGCCAAATCAGCCCTGGGAGATCTCAATGACCAATCACTAACCTCAGCTTCGCCCAACGGAGACGAGCAAATTCTGACCTTTGCGGCTCTAGGGAGACTAGTGAAAATGCGGAGCCAAAAGCTTGTGGAAGAGTGGTGGCAGAAGTATCGGCCTAAACGATACAAAGATCTCGACCTCTACATGCGCTGCAAGCGACCGCCGGAACTGGCTCTGCCTCGATGGGCGTATCACCGTCTTATTGCGGCAAGAACAGGCCACGGGGACTACGCCGACTACCACCGGCGTTTCAACCCCGAACATGAAGATCTGATGTGCATTTGTGGCCGAGAGAAAAGGCCCTGGCATTTTTCAGAGTGCCGACCTGCTCTGCAACGTTGGAGAAGCTGTGAGAAAATGACTCCACCTGGGGTCAGGGAAATGATAGGGGAGAAGGGATGGCAGAAGTTTTTCCAATTCCTAACCATAAGCAGATGCTACAGTCTGCCGAAGAACTGACAGGGTGGGAGTGACCATGCTGAGATAGTTTCTGGCTCGAGAGGAGAGGTGTTTGGAAGATAGGGATACGGTGCAGGGCACCGTAACTCAGACATTTGCTGTGATTTTATTTTTCTTTTGTCGCTTCTGGCTTTAATGCCGGTCATGTAGGTAGCAATGAGCTCGTAGGGCCCATCTACCCGTGTCACGTCTAAATAGATGTTGGGTTCGTCCTGTCACGTTAAAGATTTCAAATTCAAATTCAAATTCAAATCAAATCTATGATTCAAGTATTACAATTGATAAACACAAACCTCTTCAAAGTTATGGCGGCTTTTTCTTCACCCCAAGTCAATCCTCATCCGTGAATACCCACCCAAGGGAATGTCTCAAAAACTCTAAATTATCCAGAAATGCCTCCGTCATCTATTGAATTTTCTCCGCGCGATATGTGATCTGAGATGTCTCCTTCCCAAGTGGAGTAGGTGCCCAGGCTACTCAAACTAAACCAGAGAACATCACCAGGAGGCAGACCACAGCACCTTCCATCGTTGACTTGTGTTTATAGTGTCAGCTGCATTCTCGCAAGCGAAGTCTTGGCGCGCAAAAAGCTCAATTTGTAAAATGCTTGCCAAAATTCGGGATTTCAAGCCCGTCGAGAATGTATCCCTCTTTTGCATCATCTTGTAAACTTGTCCTGATTACTCTCATGTCCATCTCAAGGAGCTTCCCCCTAGATTTGTGCGCCACGGGTTTTGTGCTCGTACGGGTATTGATATTGTGGTGGGCGTATATTTAGTGATCAGCTGAGGCCTGAAAATAGTCGATGAGAGGTGTAGTCATTGGGATGAGGATGTACTGAGTCGTACTTGTAGACTTGATGAGACTTAGGCAGGAGTCAGTCTCGTTGGGAGTGAAAATTTGACGTGGTGGAGTAATTTGAATCATTGCCTCGTGGGCCAACTTGTTCGGTATTGCGAAATATGACTGAACTTGGTACTGGCAAAATATTTCACTCCCAGGTTCGTGGAGGACACCATGTATAGGTGCTCAGGCAATGCCCTCTTCTCGGGTTTTCATGGATCGCAGCTGAACATCATTGAAAACCGGTTTCCATCACAATAACTTGAGCTGTACAGCAGAAAGTTTTGAGGTAGCCTTGCGGACTAGCAGGGGCTAACCGTTTACTTTCAAAGAGTTCATCGACACTTACGATCTACCAATTGGTTCGGCTTGTTCAACTTGAATTTCTCAATCATAATATACTAATGTCGTCGCGTGGAGATCGCACACTATCGGGGCCATGGAGGCGTTTGAAGCCAGTCACCCAAGACTCCTTGGAGGTCATTGGACTACCCTCTAAAGGCGATAATAAGTACGCACATCCGAACGAATTTTGCAATCTAACGCCTAACTATGCACTATGTCTCTAGACTCCTGGATTACAAGACACAAGAAACCTATTATACGAGGGTCGTTGAGCGCTACATGGCTTTCTGCTCAGATGCAGAACACGGTGTTGAACTTTTGCGAAGGTTGGCAAGTGCATCACATGATAACTCGACTGAAAAAGAAATCTCAATTCTACTTTTAGCAATGCGGAAACTTCGCGAGGGAATTGTGGCATCTAAACGGATTGATGATTTTTCCATTCAGGCTTATATCTTTTCAATCAGGCTGTCTATTCTTGTAAAACACACCGAGTCGTACCATCCCGCAATCTTACATCTTCTCAGGGTGATGCATCCAGTACAACCACTGGCAAGCACTGAGTTGCAAGAGTTTGTCGGATACCTTATATTGGACTTAGCTTGCAGGCAAGCCAAACTAGGACAGGCGTTTTTGGTTCAACACCAGTATCGCCTGCACGATACAAAGATTAATGCAGTACTCAGCGCCCTCACCCACGACAATTATTATGTCTTTTGGAGAGTCAAGCAAACTGTAGATGGACACAAAGCAAAAATTATGGAATTTGCTGAATATGCCATGCGGAGGCAGACTCTCAAATGCCTTGGACGAAGCTACCTGAGTATTGACCTTCCTTTTCTGGAAGAGTCTACAAATTCAACATGGTCCCAACTAACTGAGAATTGTGGCGTCGGATGGCGGCTAGAAGGTAACAAGGTTATCATTCGAAAACATAAAGTTCATCCAAGTAGCAGTACACAGGCATAGTATGCTACGTTACATGTGTACTCTTAGATATACCCTTCATATTTGGCCTTTTCCCCTTATTCTCGTGGGCTGTTCTGAGCCACTCTCTACAAGACAGTTGAGCTTTGAATGGCATGTCATTCAGCTAAAACACTTGATCAACTTGAACTCAAAGTATGCTAATAAAGTGCATTCCTGTGTCACTAGCGTCAACACTGCGAACATTTTGCCTGGTCTAAAAAAACATACCTTCTGAACATTATTTTTGAGATTGTGACTAGCTCTATGGTTTGATAGGTTATTAGATTGAGAAAATTCTCCGGGTAAAAAATCCATGGGGGGCTAGAAAATAAATAGGAAGAGAAGCAGTTTACCAGGAAAGATATGGCCCATTCCGTCTCATCATGAATATGATATGGACCTAGGCCAATAAATAACCATCGATAGAGAAGCCCAGACGGTAAGAAGACTTTATGCCGAGTAAATATGGGATATATGGAGCTCTTATCTGAAATTGTTTGTGTACCCATCAACACTTGAAGCTGGCCTAGAGTAGTACAAGTGAGAATAAAAAATACGAGAAATTAAGGCTTAGTTTTCAACTCAACCGATGAACATCATCGAAGTCAAAAAATGGGCTAATCGATGATGACCCATCTACAGTCAACTTCATGATAGCCGTAGACCTCGTATGCTGGCAATAAACGCTCCAATCCGAAATACTAGGGATATACATTAAATGAACTTCATGATCTAGAATAGAATAGAATAGAATTAAATTTAAGTCCCTACTGAGTCTATGACTATGAAGGACTTCATGATCTATACATGCTCTGTAAGTAAACAACTATGGTTAGTTCTAGCTTTTATCTCACCCTCTTTTGTAAACCTGGATGATAGTCTAGAGTGAAATCATACTGCCTCTTTCTAGACGATAGTAAAGCAAGCGTGATACTGTTCCGGGTCCCCGAGCCATCGTACTCTAGAAATGATCCAGCCACGTGAGATGATTTGCAAGCCACAAGATATTATGAGACTCTGTACCAACAGCGACATGCTCTAGAATGTGATCACTTTTACATCAAACACTGATTTCAATTAAGTGAGGCGAAATGAATTGCATAGCCAAACGTGCCTGGCTAATTGCGATGGTTTCGATGAATGCTTCTTCATAGATTTGAAGAAATCTATCACATTAACTAGTAAGAGCACACTACTTCACAGTAAGATAATGGTGAATTGCAAAGAACTCTAAGAAATTGAGATAGTTCACTATTTTAAAAAGATTTATCATGGATACTAGCCATGACACAACAAGGCGACCTCACTGGCTACCTATATAACCTCAAAGTAATATAAGCATATGCTAAACTCATCTTCCTCCGATCCAGCAAAAAGGAGGCAAAGTTTTCTCTTCAAATATCAAATATTTCATGCACTTCTATTGCGTGAACACTCTCAAGCTGTTAGCTATTGTGACGGATTCTAGGCTACCGAGAACTACTAGTCTTAGCTTTAGCTTGGGTAGGAGTGAGCTGAGCCTGGTCAGTTAGCAATCCGCATAGGAAACTGGAGCATCGTTATATTTTAGACGTATACGCCAGTCGCAACGTATTCAATCAAAATGGCTCCAGTCAACACGGCAGGCGAAAGCTGGGGAGGTCATTGCCTGAACACCTGTACGTGGTGTCCTCCACGAACCTGGGAGTGAAATATTTTGCCAGTACCAAGTTCAGTCAAATTTCGCAATACCGAACAAGTTGGCCCACGAGGCAATGATTCAAATTACTCCACCACGTCAAATTTTCACTCCCAACGAGACTGACTCCTGCCTAAGTCTCATCAAGTCTACAAGTACGACTCAGTACATCCTCATCCCAATGACTACACCTCTCATCGTTTATTTTCAGGCCTCAGCTGATCACTAAATATACGCCCACCACAATATCAATACCCGTACGAGCACAAAACCCGTGGCGCACAAATCCAGGGGGAAGCTCCTTGAGATGGACATGAGAGTAATCAGGACAAGTTTACAAGATGATGCGAAGGATGGATATAGCCTCGAAAGGCCTGAGACTTGTAATTTTGCTAAAGAAATTTCCAAACTGAAGAGTGTTGTACGCGCCAAGATTTCGCTTGCGAGAGTGCAGCTGACACTATAAACACAAGTCAACGATGGAAGGTGCTGTGGTCTGCCTCCTGGTGATGTTCTCTGGTTTAGTTTGAGTAGCCTTGGTACCTGCCCCACTTGAGAAGGAGACATCTCAGATCATATTTCGCGCGGAGAAAATTTGAAAGATGATGGAGGCATGTCTGGATAACTCAGGGTTTTTGAGACGTTTCCCTGGGTGGGTATTCACGGATGGGGGTTGACTTGGGGTGAAGGAAAAGCCGCCATAACTTCGCAGTGGTACTTGCAAATGAAATCCGAGGCGTGGGTGCTCTTCATTTATATCGAATCATCAAAAAAGTACTTTTTCTGATATTGTGTCATAGCTAGATAGCTGCATATGCAATTAAAATCTGGTGCAAAAAAGAAGATCCGAGAAACTTATAACCTGCATTTGAGACATAGTCATCCGCTGGAATGCTAGTGTAAAATAAATTTCAATGTGCATTAACCTTTCAGTCAGGGATGTATTGATGACAACAAAATAGGATGGAGAATTTGATAGTCTGATTAGCCACACCTACAAATAAGATATTCTTAGCATTCTAAGATATACCATATTTCAGAAAAGAGCACTGTACAAGGAGTGACCTGGATGAGAGAGGAATTCAATGTGTTAGATGGTCTTTGATTGAAGTATTGCATTAAACAACTCTCATTTTTTTTTTAATTTACATCCTATTTGAGTCTATGACCATTGAAGACAACTCTCAATATTAAAACGTCGATACATCTGTTAGAAAGTTGTACGAGGCTGGATATTCAGCCCTGTACTCTTGCGTGATCTCAAAGTCTCATTCCGATGCAGCCTCGATACGAAATACCAAATCTACCAAGTTGTTGAGATGTAACAAATTTAACAATAAACAACACTATGGTAACACATGATAGATCATAAAATCACAAGGTGATAATATGATTAAACACATGTTGATTTCAAATTATTACATCTGATATAACAAGCTTATAATACCAATGTGCGTTTAATGATACCAACAACAACTTCGTGTTTGGTCTTCTACTAGTCTCGCCATTTCAGAAAATTAAACAGGTTCTAGCTTCAAGCTCTGCTCTGTGCTGCCGTATCCCGAGTAGTGGAGGCCGAGTTCACATGTAAGAGCTCTTTACTAAAACACTAATTCGTAGATCTACATCGGCGCTGTAATTGGCACGCTGGCGAAGCTTTGGGCCCGTTTCGTAGGTGACGATTTATCACAGCTTAAGTGTGTGATGCCATTGACCGAGATGTAGACGCAGTTAAGGCCAGAAGTTCAAACGTGACTTCTGTCAGTGTCCCTATTCAGCTGATTGGATCACCGGTTTTTGAAAGACCCTCACAGCCCGAATTGATTTAATGGGTATGGCATAACAGTATGTTTGAGCGCAGATCTGTACAGGCGTTTATTAGATGTTATTTATGATAGTTTGGGGGAATAGGAGGTTCTTAGAAGCACTTCTTATTCCGCTGGCAGTAGTCCGGGATTCGTATATAAATTAGAGATGCGCGCATCTGTTTGAGATCGTGTGACGTCCTTGTAAATATAGCTTGAACTATAAGCTGACATCTCCTTGGGATCCATCTCATTACAACTTCTAAGTGAGCAGCAATTGCCGAAGCTTTCATGTCTTTCTACAGTCCCTCAGCAGTTTCGATTTTTCGATTTCATGTATCGCTGCGGTAGGTAGTGAGATGATTGTAGAGAGTCGCGCTGTATCAGTTTAGCTGGGAAATCCGAGATGGTGAGGCATTTCGGATATTTTGATATGAACATCAGACAGAATTTATTCTATCTGCGGTTCACTTTTGGGGTAAAAACGGTTGATTTAATTGATCTGTTCGGTCGTGAAACCTAAGCATCTCGGATTTTCCACCAAAATAGTCCACGCTGCTCCTGCAGGCCAACTTCTCATCAAAAATTATTGTTATCATATTTCATGGTAACTAAATCTTGTTTCAATTGGAATACTTCGCTCAAAGCTACGTAGAGGAGACAACTAATAGATCTTCGCTGTCTATCCTACTAGCTTGGATAAGTTATGATGCGCTGATTGCCTTTCATCTTGAATAACGCAGGGGTTCATGTCATGTTGGAAATGGAGACACAAAGTGTTGTGGACGTACGGGCCCTCCAATTTGTCTAGGTCCTCGACAATATCTTTTGTGTATTTCGGGGGTTGGTGTGGCTAATATGGTAGCATTTCAGGCTACCTAATGGATACATGAGCGGCTGCATGGCGTGGGTATGAGGAATTTATTGTGAGTTTTTCTATGCCTAGATGGCGCCACAATCGTTTATGCTGTGGCTCGGGCTTTGTGTCGCTTACACTTGCATCTTTATTTTATATTTTATATTAAATTATTTAATGTGTATGCAGCTATATAGCTATGACACATGACCAGTGCTAAGTATACATACTTGATGACTCTTTTGACGTCAGAGACACTCATACTCTAGATTTTATTCGCAAATACCACTATGAGGTATGTTTGCTCACAAAAACAGTCGACCCTCCTCCGTAACTACCCACCAAAGGGAATTTCAAAACCTTTGGTTATCCAAGCATGCCTTCGTCATCCATGTATACTAGCGCTGCGAGAAAAGTGGTTGTATTTTGTCGGATTTAAACCAGCGATCTACTGTCTCGAGTGGGATGTGTCCAAGCTATCCAGACCTTACTTGGCAGACCGGCGAAGACGATATACCACCGCACCATCCAACCATGGCGGTGTTTATAGTGTTGCTTGCACTCTGACAACCGAAGCATTGGCACACACAAAACTCAATTTGTAAAGACTCCTTGCCAAAATTCCGAAATTCACACCCTTCGAGGTTGTGTACATCCTCCGTGTCATCTTGTGAACTTTTCCTGAATCCTCTCACGCCCATCCCAAAGAACAGTCTCCCAGATTTGTGCACCACGCTTTGTTTCCTCCATCGGGTGTAAACATCGGCGTGGACGTTTAATTTATGACGAGCTGAGGCCAAAGAAAGTTGACGAGAGATGTGATTATTACAATGAGGGTGTACTTGGTCTTACTTGCAGACTTGATGAGACTTTTTTTTAATTCATTTAATTGTCCTGTCTGAGTCTATGGCTATGTAGGACATGCAGTTCCCCTCTGCCTACAGGCCAAGGATGCCTATACCAGTAGTATATCCCCTCCTATGCCTCCCATACAACTCCCCTCAAACAGTACCACCCCTCACAAGTCCTCATTCGATCATACACTTAGCGGAGCCCTTTTCCCTTCATTATCTCCCCTCTCCAGCCTAAGAAGCGATGGCCATTTGCAGGTGTATGGCAGCCGGGAAAAATCGCAAAAACCGCTGGGTGCGGAGCTCTCCTAATACCGACATTAGGAATAAATTCGAAGACATAATGGTCCTTCTGAAGCGTTCGAAGAGGCCGGCCAGCTGGGCGCTGCAGACTTGTGGGTACCTCGGGAAATTCACCCTCTGCCTTTCTAGCCTCCTTCCAACCCTTCCCCAAAGGTCGTGCTGAAATATCAGAAAAGTCTTGACAGAGCGTGATTCCTTATGGTAGCTCAGCCCAACTTCTTTTGTGCCGTCTAGGACTCTGGGGAGTGCTGTCGACTCATCGACAAAAGAAGACCTCCTGGCTAATTAGCCGAAATCTCGGTCTTGGCGCCCACAAAAAATCCAAAGTTGAAAACCCCTCGAAAATGTCAGTCCCAGCATGATCTTTTCGAAGACCTGATCCCCCCTCCCGTTCCACATCTCAGCCGCCTGTGCCTTCTCAAGATGTATAACCGCATTAGAGCATCAGTCCCCCATATATCAAGACCCATGCTTTGTATATTATGACTTCATTTCCTCCTTGCGGGTATAAGTAGCGTCGTAAATTTGTAGTGAGTGATGACCGGTGATGAATGAGGCAAGCTCCTGTCTGAAATTGGGGCGACGTCTCTATCGGTCGTTGAGGCGAGATGATATGTGGTTAGAAAGAGGTTGAGGACTCAGAAGATAACGGTGAGTGCTATATGATTGAGAAGTCTTCAAATGGAGATACGCATGTGTTTGCTTTCGACTTCAATTTGGATGCGATTCTTCTTGGCTATCCCAGATATGTAGAGCATACTGAGCGATTGCACCTACACCACTTGACGGTGAAGAATTCGTCTTTGCCGGCTTGATGAGACTTAGATAAGAGTCAAACTCGTTGGGAGTGAAAATTTGACGTGGTGGAGAAATTTGAATCGTTGCATCGTGGGCCAACTTTTTCTATCGTTCCAGTAATATTGCGCGATATATCCCCAACTTATTAGCCCTAATACGCGTATATGAGCGTATTGGCACCATAGCTGCAATTCTGGTTCCATAAATAAAATGCAAAAAGTTTTCGCGTACATGGTGAGCTCCTAAACACTTACAACCATCAGATTTGATTCGATATTCTTCACCGATCATAAAACATAAATCATGAGTGATGAATGATGATGAACACAAGTGAAGAGGTGTAATGCGCTAGGAAATTTACCGGACGATGCATCAGCGTTGATAGTAAAAGGTTGATAAATAGTGATCACAGCCGCTTCCAGCTGGGCAAATTGTCTTGGAATTCATGATGCTGCGTTGGACAAATATTGAATCAGAGCTAATTCAACGGCTTCTACGTGAACCTCTAGCCACACTATCAGACTTTGACCACTTCGAGGCGTATCATGATCGCTTCGATCACGGTTACATAGACATAGAGTGTATTCTTCGATTAAAAATTCCACCGAAAACTTATAATCGCTGTCATACTTGTTTTACTCTAGCACGAAATTTTAGAAAGTTTCGGTTGGTAATATACACGTGTACGCGTACGCAATGGGTTTCTTTCTGATATGGTGGTTCTTGTTCCATCCACTTGCCGGCGTGTCTGCCATGTGGGCGACACGGCGTTCCGCACTAAGTCATGTGACTACTGCCTACTCACAAAACACTCCTATACCTACCGGAGGACGAAGGCTGAACACCTGTCAGTGGTGTCCTCTACGAACCTGGGAGTGAAATATTCTCCCAGAGCCGAGATTCAGTCACGAAAATGGGTGGGATGAATTTCAATTGATGGATTTTCGACTTGAAGGAGTTGCACTCGATATTTAGGTCGAAAAATCAGTCGACAGAGATTTCACAGCCGGAACAAAGTTGAACAAAAACTCATCACCACTAACATACGATTCACGAATGGATTTAGGTCTGTCTGGGAGTCGTATTCAAACATCCGACATCTCTCATGCTCCTTTTATATTTGCGACGAAGCAAATCTCAGTCGATCCTACACCTGCGACTTACCTCCATACCCGTCCGATCATCTACCTACACACGCCCTAATGAGGAAAGTCATGATGGAAACGGGACGTGTACAAAGGAGGAAGAAGAGGGAAGATACACTGAGGGGATTACACAAATCCCCAATGACGAAAACAACCCAACGGTACGATATGAAGGTGCAAGGCTAGAGCAACGATGAGATATTGGACGGCATTTATATTTCGGAGTCAATGAGGATGTCAAGGGCTCGGGCGCATGGTGGCCGAGGCTGAGGAGGAAATCGCGCTACGGCGTGTATACAGCGGGTTTCTGGACGGTTAGGCTTGGTATGATTCAACACATAGGTGAAGTCTGAGGTGGTCCGGTCATTAAAGTGGGACGAGGTTTATCTGTACTTCACGGTAGTTAACCTAATCCGGCCCAACCCCACACGTGCTTAAGCTCCAATAGGAGTGCAACGGTAGCCATGTAACCTAGCACGTTAATGAACAAAACAAAACTCCTATACCTACCAGGTGACCGCCAACCTACTTGGGCTCTGAGGATTCCACATTGATATTACAACATAAAGAGATATAAATTGGCCGACTTTACCAGCGAGCTTCTCGAGCATCTTCGAGCGGAAACTTTCAAAGAATATGCACGGGATAGCGAATACTCTGAGATACCCACCCGCAAACTTCAACTTGACTCAATGCGGAGTTAAAACCTTTAAGAAGTTCATGGCTTAACCTTGTGGATAGTTTGATTTTTTTACATGGATAAATGAATACTAGTATGAGAAATAATGGATAGGCTCATTCTAGTAACTTCTTTTGCTTTTACTCTCCCATCTCTTATGTGAACTGATAGCAAACAAGGCTTGTGGGGAGTGTAATAAAAAGGAAGGCTGGAAAGGCAACCTGATGCAGAGATGTACATGAAATACAAATAGGGCATGATCCTCAACATCTACGAGAAAACAATTTGGCATATTTTAACATTGTTTTAAATGTAACCAGAGTATTTAGTTAGATTCTCAGTCTCCCTAAGTCTCGAACTCTGTAAGGGCTATATTATGAGTCTAACCTTTTCTATGAATTGCTCTTGGTACTGAAAATAGTGCTGTAGAGTAAGACACGCCATAAAAGGGCATCATGGCCGGCTCCACCAGTCCTGTACCGATTAGGTACTAGGGACTTAACGCTTAAACCTAGAGGTTATCAAAGTAAAATCAGTGCTATGATCACGTCTCCTACATTGAAGGATTTGATGGCGGGTGAAATTATTGGGCCGCAAATATAGCCACCTCACAACCTACATAGACATTAAAGTTAGCAGGGGGAGGTCATGCAGGACTTAGCCTTAAAAAGGAATGAATGTGTTCGACTTGATGCGGGCTGAGTCGTTTTTCCTAACTACATCACTCATGACTGAATATGTCATTCAACGATTAGAACTACTACCTCTAATCGCTCATAAATTGAATCGGGTTAACCGTTGCCAGCTCGAGCTCTAGGGGTGGGACTAGCATTATTTCTCTTTCGGTCGGTTTGTTTCTATGGGTAGGGCGAACCAGTAAGGAACATCGGCCTGAAAGAGCTTAGAACTTCCAGCTGAGGCTCAATTGTGGCTGTGTTGTCGTGCTGGTATTATAAATAAGTCATACGTCATACATTACGGCCGCGTCAAGCGCACTCGCGTCAGCTTCTGATAAATTAGGATTTATGCCATACTCCTTTTGGTTTGTTTCTTCTTAGCATTTCCCTTCATCTCTTCACCTACGTTTACTCCCTTCGCAGAATATTCTCATCTTGAAATCTTGATCGACAAGCGGAAGCATGGGTATCGGTCGCTTTATCTGTGTGGCCGTGCCAATGGCCTTCTCGATTGCCAGCCTTGCCTGCATTCTCATAGCCAGCCTCGGTGGCATAGGCAACAAGAATCTACACTTGTTCCAAATAACAACTGCTGATTTCAGCGCTTCAACTAGCACTCTCACCAATATTGCTGATGAGGTTTTCAACCGTGACCTCAACCCTAAGATCGGAATCCCTGAGATAAGTGCTGGCAGTATCAACTTGACTGCAAGTACTCTGGGACTCGCTGAAAAATACCGAATATCAATCTGGAAATACTGCCGAATATCGGGATCTGAGTCTATGTGCACTGCTCCACGCTTTAACTGGGCCGCCAGCGTGCTCAACACTAGCGCGCTTGAAGACAGAGCAACTTCTGTAGCGGGAAAGCCTGTTAGTCTCCCGAAGGAAATGAAAGGCGCTTTAAAATCGTTCACCGCTATTTCTGTTTGGACCCAGGGATTCTACATTGCTGCCATTATCAGTGCCGGGGCAGGGCTTATCCTTGGTCTCCTATCTATTTGTATCTGTTCGCGCGCTGGTACTTGCCTCACCTTCTTCCTTGCTAGCATTACATCCATCAGCATCATAGGTGCTTCAATTTTAGCAACAGTTCAAGCTTCTCTGGTCACCGCAGCATTGAATAAAGTTGCCAAAGCATACGGCGTGACATCTTCGGTTAACACCTCATTTCTCGTTATCACATGGCTCGCAGCAGGTTTCAGTATTGCAGCAGGCTTCCTTTTAGCTTTTAGTAGCTGTTGCTGCCTCACTAGTAATTCATCTTCCAGGCATGAACGTCGCTATCGCTCTGATAGTAACACCGAAAAATTAGTACCGCTAACGCCCTACGAGCGCACGTATGGAGCATCATATGAGGGCGTCCCAAATCAGGAATGGCAACCTAACAATACTCAGGCCACCTATGGCATTCCCATGAGATATCAGAGGCCAGTAAAGGCGGGAGCCTACGAACCTTACTTACACGCTCCTTCCTAGCTTTTAGGATACCATCTTGGCTATCGTAGACTAGTATCACACGCGAGAGAGCATGGAAATTATGGCCTTAATTCGACCCTTCCCTGTATTAAGGCAGATGAACTGGGTAGAACGGGACTAACTTCTATCTATGTCCCATCCAATCATCATTAGGATTGTGAGGACATTAGCAAATCACGCATAAATTGACAGCCTCCCTAAAAATGCCAAGTTTTCGCAACCCGCAATCCTAACTGCTACCCTCAGGCTAAATTGCGCTTCCAAGGTTGTAAGACAATACCCTCGGAATAGCTGCCGGTAGGCAGCGCTCTGCCTAGAGGTTGAAAAGGGAGCAAGCAACATGCATTAGATATACCCAGAGATCGGAGGCTACCTGGATTCTTATTAACTAACGCAAATCTATCAGTCACTCTAATCAAGGGCCTGAGTTGTTGTCTATCACTCTACTCGCTCTATGGGATATAAACAGCCTAGATAGATACATCTTGCACGCGCCTCATTTCTAGGGCCTAATATAGTCTGAACTATGTAACCTTTATCTGACTTGCATTAGCTGTATTAACCCATATAAAAGATGTTTTTCTAAAATTTACATGCATTAGTTCTTGTTGATTTATATTTTTAAGAGATTGTATAAATACTCCCATTCTCATTATCCCAAAACGCCCGAAAAATATAGCTACTTGCAACATATTATTTGTTCTACAAAATTAAATTTCTACAGAGATATCTCTATCCCTTAAATGTTCTTACCAAATTCGCCGGAAATCTTCCGCAGTGCACTACTCGGTTTACCCCAAAGAGTTGAAAATTTACCCTGCTCGATAACCATCCCTTTCTCGAGAACAACGACTTCATCAGTAATAGCTACTAGTTCTATATTGTGGCTAATAATGATTATGGCCATACTATTGGTGGCTTGGCAACGCAACATTTCTAACATGGAGCGGATGTGAGCGGCTGACTCGATATCAAGTGCAGATGTTGGCTCGTCCAAAATCAAGAGCTTGGGTTGTCTAACAAGCGCCCGAGCAATTAGTATGCGCTGGACTTGACCTCTAGAAAGACCCATACTGCCTTCGCCTACAACAGTATTGAATCCCCTTTCGAGGCTCACGATGAAATCGTAAATACAAGCTTGTTTGGCAGCTGCTCGAGCCGCCTCCATAGTTGCATACGGTGAGCTACTAGGAAGACCATAAATAATGTTTGCATAAATAGTGTCTGGAAAAAGAGATAAATCCTGTGGGACTATTGAAATAAAGCTTCGGAGGGTTCTTAGATCGCATTTTTCAAGTGGTACACCCGAAAAGGTAAGCGATGGAGTGGGCAAGGGGTCGGGGTAACAAAGTGTAAGAATAAGCGAAGCGATAGTCGATTTCCCAGATCCGGAGCGTCCTACAATAGCTATACAGGAGTTAGACCTAACTTTTAGATCTATTCCTTTGAGTACTCGGTTTGCGCTATTTGGATAGGTAAAGCTTAAGTTTTTAAAAATAATTGGAAATATGGATGAAGTACGCTTCAAATATCTCTCATTACAATTGAGCTCCTCGGGAAGATCCAGCAGAAGGAGAATCTTTGTAGCCGTAACCAATGCAGCACTGACCTGAGGTATAAGGGGTAGTACTGCAAATCCATGGCTGAGGCCAAAAAGTAAGAAGTTAATAACCTGAAGACAATCCGGTACAGATAGATTATCGTCGACGATAAGTCTGCCTCCATAATAAACAACAAGAGCTGTGATTACAAAGGATATAGAATCGCTTATAAGACCGTAGATTAAACCACTGTATAATGAGCGACGAAGTCCCATGAAATACGCTGAAGCAACCACACTTGTATATTTGTCTTGATAATAAGATTCCAATCTATAACATCTCACAGCACGTATATTTAAAGCGACTTCGTTAAAGATATTGCTTGTGGCCGTAGCCATTTCATTACATTTTATTTCGTACAGAGTAGATATCCAGCTAAAAGATGTGCCGCCAACATACACAGCTGGACTGCAGATTAGTGCTACTAGTGTTAATTTCCAGTTTGTGTTTAAAGACCAAATTACTGAGATGCTAAGAGTACAAATCAAAGTCAAAATTGGCCCAAGAAATCGACCAATAAGATTCCGCATTTCCTCGGCATTTCGGTCCAGGTACTCAATAAGCCTTGAAGGAGAGTTGTTAGTGTTATCTAACCATATTTTCGGCTGCGCTAAAATTAAGCGAAGACATTTTATACGAAGACTTGTGACCCATGCTTGTGCCACTTTCTCAAGGTAGTAGCGGGAGTAGTAGGTAGTAAAATATTCGATAGAAGCAAGGCAGATTAGAGTTATAGCCCAGATAGAAACTTTGGCAGAATGGTTATCTGACAATGTGTATACTCCCATAAGACGTGAGATGCAGTAAGCAAACATTGGAGTAGCTACTGCTGTCGCAAAGCAAGCAAAAACTCCTAGCACTAAAGAGATTTTGTTTTGGACTGACAACTCATGCCATATCTTAACGATTAAAGGATGTGTTGAGTGAAAAACATTGTCATTTATCGCCAACTTAGTTTTTGGGCTGAACTCGAATGTGTGGAGAGTTTCATGTGGTAAATAATTATTAATAGTTTCATGCAAATTCTTTTGAATATCCACGCTAGGTTCTGGATCTGATCCAGAACTTATTTGATCTGTCCACAATTCTGATGAGATTTTTGGAAACCTTTGAGCATTAAGATGAGATTCAAAATTAAATTCGGCTTTGAGCGGTACAGATTCGAGTGCTTTGATTGGTAAGTCGTTTGGATTTAGGGACATATGATTCACATTTAGGGTAGATATATGCATCTTTTGTTGAAGTCGAATATTGTACTGAGTCTTGCTTAAAGTGAGGCTTTTTGGTCTGGTAGCCAACGAGTCTGGTTCTAATAAATTTATTTTATTTTCAGGCAGCAGTTTTGAAAATCTGTGTCCTGTTTTTCTGTAGTTCTCCACGAGCGAAATAAAAGCGTCCTCTTTATTTCCATTGAGCTCGCTTACAAATCCACTCTGAATAACAGAGCCTTTCTCAAGTACATATATGTAGCAGTCATCTGGAATTTGAGAGATGTCATGAGTAATAATTATTGTGGTCTTCCCCTTCCTCCATTTACGAATTTCTGCCGTTATATGATCACGAGAGGCCTGGTCTAGTGCACTCGTTACTTCATCAAGAATTAGAATGGGAGAGTCACGAAGCCGAGATCTTGCGATCGACACACGTTGTCTTTGACCTCCGCTAAGCGTTTTTCCACGCAAGCCCACCATAGTATTTAGACCATCGGGTAAGCTCATTAACATCTCATTTAAGTTTACAACTTCACCAGCATTGTTAACATCTTTCGAGCTTACGTACTCAATCCGGCCTAAAGCAATATTTTGGTAGATAGAGTCGTTAAAAAGGATATTGTCTTGATGAATCATTGTTATGTTATTTCGCAGGAATTTTGGACATATTCTAGATGTTGAATTTCCATCGATCAGCACCTCACCTGAGGTAGCTGTGTAGTAATTCATGAGGATATTCGCAAGGGTGCTTTTTCCGGAGCCGCTCCTTCCAACTAAATACGTTATCTTTCCGGCAGGAAATATCAAGCTTGCACAGTCAATAACTTTTTTGTGTGGGGTTGTGGGGTATGAGAATGAAATCTTAGATAAGTTAGCGAAGCATTATTCTTTGATGAAAATTTTCATGCCTTTTTGAATTCGATATCGCTATGTTCTATGTCAGGAATGATGGTATCCATCATATTTCCGATTATTTCATCGTCTGTTACATTAGAGAGTGAGGACAAGGCAATTTCAGCTGAAATTCCTTTAGTAAGTACGATCCATTGAGGTAGTGCTACCTCAAGTGCTTGAATAACAGCAAGTGTAGAATAGAAAGCGACGATTATATTCGTAGAGCTCTTTTGTTTTTTGACTAAATGAAGGCCAAACCAGAATCCTTCCACAAAAATAAGGATCATAACGAATTTCATAGTAGCCATCTGTAGAGCATTGGCTCTTGCTTGAATCAAGTAGTTTCTTGTAACGAGTCGAAGGCTATTTTCATAATTCCGCAGTTCATGGTCTTGACCATTATATGACTTAACAGTATCTATTTCCCTGATGGTGGTGCTTGCGTACTTCAAGGACTGTGTTAAGTATAATTTTTGCTCTTCGATCGCGCGTTCAATTTTCCTCGAAACAAGCCATAAAACTAAGCTCATTATTGGAAGATTTATTAGAATAAGGAGTGTTAGCTGCCAAGAGTTGTAAAGTGCAATACCAAGTGAAAAGATCGTACTTATAGCTTCGTATAAGATAAAGCCCAAGGGTTGTGAGACACCCAATTGGAGCTCTCTTATTTGCCTAGAAGATTTTAATTGTCTTTTTTCTGAAGGTTAATATTTAATGCTTACGTTTCAATCCGAGCCAATAAAGTGTCAAGGCCCTCTGTTCTCAGATCATACCATTTGATATTTCTCTTGAGCATGGCACTGAATAACCTATTACGCATTTCTTTTGCATGCTGTTCGCCAAAAGCTATCCATGATGACATAAACCCAGCCTCAACGACCCACGAGAGGCCACTAAGGACTATAAGGACTTTGCACGAAGTGGAGACACTATCAAGCATTTGGGACGATACGATGGTTCCTGAGCCATAAAGAGCGAATATTCCAAAAATATTTCCGCAAATAATTGTTGCAACCGGACGTAATGTAGCAGAAACCATGGTCGTAGTGATCGCTATGATAAATGTTCTGGTAACTCTTATTTTTGTAAATGAAATTAAAGATATCCATGTTTGTAACTTTTGATTTATATAATCACGATACAGAGCAAGAGATAATTTTGGCTTCCTTTGATGTATTCTGTCCGAGAAGTCGTAAGAAGCTTCTGGATTGTGATAACTGTGTTGAACAAGAGGGTCCATCGTCTGAAGTCTTCGGGTGTAAATCTACGGTAATATATCTAACCTCAGAAGCAAACAACATTTTTTCTGTTGCAAGCCTACTCAGTAACAACATCATGGATAACTTTATGATTGGTCAGGCCTTATGTGTTATCTTGGTTTCAGTAGCAAGCAATGCAATTGCTGTCGTTAGTATTGTTGTCTAGATAAACAATGGGATCGGCAATGCGTAGCAAAACTTGTTGCTTCCGAATGAGATAAGCGGCTGTAACACCGACAACATACAGGGTCGTCAAAATTTATTCAACAAAATTGAAGTCTATTGATTGAGAAGCTATCTTCCTGGAGTAGGATAAATGTTATACTGGGCTTTGAAATTTTGTTACAGTTTAAGTATAGTCACGGGCCTTGATTTGTAAATTAAATATATAGTCGCACAACGTTGGACCATATATTTTTGAGGATGCAAGCGACCGTTGAATGTGATGTCTTTGTTTCTTATCGAGAGTATGGTTTATGCAAAAAGTACAATATTAGCCGTAACCCGACAAGGGCCCGACGTAGTCTAGAAATGCAAATTCGAAGCGAGCAGTTCTTGGGGTCGATAGAGTGATGTGATTTGCTTACGCAGGTTGCACTATGATAAAAATGCGCTTCACGGAGGACCAAGAAGAAAACCAAAAACATTTAACATAGACGTCTGGTGATTTTCAACAAAGGAATTTTCTCCAACGTAAAAATTACATTTAATTGTTACCAGTTTGGATCCATTAGGCACCAAATCAGGATAATGAAATTAAATTTGAGTAAAATATTAATTAAATCCTTGCTTTAACCCATGTCACCCTCCGGCATAAACTTGAAACTTTCGTAAGGCCTAGTTCTAACTATTCCAATTTGTAATGAATTATTAAGCTGCCGATTCAAATACGAGCTTTATCTGAACGGCTCAGAACTTTTCTATTCTTTGGCTACTGCCTCAAGTCTTAAATTTTCCTGCTCTTTTTGATATTTTTCATGTATCCAGTCATTCAAACCATGCCTATTTCTTGCGATTTCAATTGCATAGAACTGCATACGGGGTACTTGGCAGATGAGCTGCTGTTGACGCAACTAATATAAAGATAACTTACCAAATATAGTCTCTTCATTCCCATACTCCCACTTCGGGTTTGATCTTACAATTGTACCGAAGCTGTAATCGTCTACTCTATTGTTGTATGCCATCATAAATTTTCGCCATCGTTCTTTGCCTGCTTTACTTTTCATTTCATCTTCGTTAATAGTAACTGCGGGGTCGAATTCGGGAAAATCTCGCATCAGATGGTCGTAGATTTCATCATCAATTTTTGTGAGCCTTAGACTAGAGCCCGGTACTTTTTCTAGTATACCCCAGTAGGTTGCCATTTGCTGTACAGCTAAAGCGTAAAGTAAATAACAGGATGATTTAATCGAAAATTTTAAGCTGACCTTTAACAGCAAACTGCTTCTCGATCTATTTGAATGAAATTAGTTTCGAGTTTTTAAGAGATTTGGAAGGGAATAGCTGACATCTTCAAGGTTATCGGCCTCTTCGGCCTTGAATGTTTCCGGGGCGCTGGGAGGCATGGCAGTATCGAAACTAACAGAAAATAATATAGAAAGTTGCGAAGCTGTAAAGGGAATGCCAAACTAGTAGTCATATTATTTTCAATCTATGCCCCTCTATCGGAAATTTAGTTTTTCCGGCTAGATCGGATATCGTTTTGGCCCATGGTTTGCTTAGATTAGATAAGATTAGATTATTATTATAGTCCTAACTGAGTCTATGACTATGGAGGTCTCCTAGAATATACATGAGATACTAGCTATATTTTCATATTCAAATTGGATAATTTCTAACTTTGCTCTCATAGACGGTGAGGGACAAGCCCTTTTACCATAGCTTGCTTGATTTGTTGCAATTGATTCCAATTTGTATAGAACTTAGCAAACAGGCTTTTCTATTCAACAGATCTTTAGTTTTGTTGCCACATCTCAATTGTGGGGTTGAGGATCGTAAGTTAGTATCCCTTATGACCAGAACGCTATAACACGGCGGTCCATCAGGAGGAACGGTCAGAATGTCTCAATAGAGACAAGCATTCCAAACTATCCCATTGCATGATATTGATGATAATGGAACAAGTTCAGCTTTAAGTATAGGAAATTCAGCAATCCTATAAGTAGATTTAAAACCTCTACATGTAATGGCTTGTAATGTGAAATTGTATAACAATATTTATTTATTCATCATATTACACTTCGTACTCGCGCACAGTGAGTAATTTATAGTCGTACCGATCAGTCCAGTCCCAATAATAATGCCCATCGCGTCGACGTTAAGACACTCCAAACGTAGCAAATGATAGGCAGAACATATCATTGTCTCGCATTTTATACTATGTGTGAATCTGGGCCTCTTCCCATGCCTCAGTGCTGATTGATGAGATTGAAAGAAGGGAAACTTAGGTTATGTCGATCTAAGCCTCTTGGAATGTACAGTCATGTGATTCAAGCTATTAAGTTGGAGGGCGAAAACTGTGCTTTTTTTATTCATTTGTCGCGTATGCAGCTATCTAGCTATGACACAATATCAAAGAAAAATACAGAAAAGATGACTCAATTTACAAGAAGAGCACTCATGCCTCGGATTTCATTTGCAAGTATCACGGCGAAGTTATGGTAGCTTTTTCTTCACCCCAAGTCAACCCTCATCCGTGAATACCCACCCAGGGAAACGTCTCAAAAACCCTGAGTTATCCAGACATGCCTCCATCATCTTTCAACTTTTCTCCGCGCGATACGTGATCTGAGGTGTCTCCTTCCCAAGTGGAGTAGGTGCCCAGGCTACTCAAACTATACCGTAGAACACCACCAGGATGCAGACCACAACATCTTCCATCGTTGACTTGTGTTTATAGTGTCAGCTGCATTCTCGCAAGCGAAGTCTTGGCGCGCAAAAAGCTCAATTTGTAAAATGCTTGCCAAAATTCGGGATTTCAAGCCCGTCGAGAATGTATCCCTCTTTTGCATCATCTTGTAAACTTGTCCTGATCCCTCTCACATCCATCTCAAAGAGCTATCTCCCAGATTTGTGCTCCACGCTTTGCTTCCTCCGTCGGGTATAAATATCGGCGTGGGCGTGTATTTGGTGGTCAACTGAGGTCAAAGAAAGTCGACGAGAGGTGTAGTCATTGGGACGAGGATGTACTGAGTCGTACTTGTAGACTTGATGAGGCTTGGATAGGATTCCAACTCATTGGGAGTGAAGATTTGACGTGGCGGAGTAGTTTGAATGATTGCCTCGTGGGCCAACTTGGTCAGAATTGCGAAATTTGACTGAACTTGGCTCTGGGAGAATATTTCACTCCCAGGTTCGTAGAGGACACCGCCTACAGATGTTCAGTCTTGCCCTCCTTCCGATCGGATTACCAGGACTGACAAGTCAGACCCAGAAAGTCCGGGCCGGTGACCAAAGAGCAGCTCGCGTGGATTCATCACCTCATGCAAGGGAAGTACTGTCTCTTATGGATGGCAAATGTAAAATTGTCAAAATGACTGGAGCTAGATCCCTGTACATATTGCCTTAATTGGTATAGTCCTCTTGCAGGCCCATGTCTAGCTACTTCACTAGTTATGCAAGCAAGGGGTACCATCCAATGAAATTACGTGAAAGTCTAAATCATGGGGATGGTTTTGAACTCAATGAGAAAAGTACAATGGTCCTCATTTGAGATTCAAAATCAAGAAAATCAATTGATATTCTCTAAAAATGCACATCTATTTCAAAAATTATTGCTTTGTATTGCAAAAGAATACATCGAAGCCCTCAGTATGACTTGCAATGCGACTCTTCATTGCCAAGTAGCGCCAATTTCAATATTTCTTGATGAGTGGAATAGAACTTCAGGTCTTCATTGTGATATTATTTATACCACGAAAGTTATGACGTATACGAATGCCTCCTCCTGCATTTTTAGCTAGGAGAATTAGGCTTTCAATAGGCGACGTTGATGGCCTTATCCATCCTTTACCTAATTGATCGTCCAACCAGCGTTTGATGACATGCAAATCTGATGGAGAACAAGGACGTGCTCTAGATCTAGTAAATTTCAATTTTCCTGGTAAGAGCTCTATCTTATGCTCATAAGAACAATGGGGAGGAAAATTGGTGGTTTCCTGGGGAAACGTTACATCTGCTATATCGTGGGGGAATATACTCAACAACTGTCAGTGGCGTCCCCTACGAACCTCCAGCTCTCACTGTAGAGTCTGCAGAGCCAAGATTGAGTAACACCTCATCAACTTTGAGCTGAGTTATCTCCCCCTCCGTCAAAGATACGCTTCCGATAACACAGAAGACGACCAAGACGACGATAATTATGCTGGGAATTAGGAAAGATAGTGCGTTACCAAACGTTACAGCGGTAGTCAGAGAAGCCCTCGTTATATCACAACTTTTGCTACCCACCGGCGGGCGAACAAAAAGCCCACGAAAGCAAAGCAAAAGACCCTTCTGCCCTCAAGAAAAGCAGATTTCGACTCGTCTACATTATCGTCCCTACTAATCATAACTTTCCGAATCTACTAGCCAGGAGGGCATCTGAAATACATGAGTCACTCGAAAACCCTACGTCCGTAACGACTTTTGGATGCTAGGCTAGGCTCCTTCACGACAGTCACTCTCGACCAAGACTTTTCTGACATCCTTTCACGACCTTCGGTTTGTCCTGCGGCATGAATCAGGGGAGGAGAAAAGAGGAGGCTAGGAAGGTTGAGAAACGCTCTTAGGTATACACAGGTCTGCTGCGCCAGGCTGGCCGGCCTCTTCGTCATAGGAGAGCCCCGCACCCATTGGTATTTGAGACTTTTCCCTGCAGCTAAACACCCGCAAATGGCCATCGTTTAGTTGGCTGGAGAGGGGAGATAATGATGGGATAACGGCTCCTCTTAGTGTGTACTCGAATGAAGACCTGTGGGGGTATTACTGCCGGAGAGAAGTCGTGAAGGAGGCGTAGGAGGGAGTGCACTACCCGAGACACAGATACTCCCGGCATATAGGCAGAAAGGACCTACATGTCCTTACATAGTTATAGACTTTTTAGGACAATAAACACTTACTCGTCTAGTTGAGAACAGTATTCATTATCTTGCGCCCGGACCTCGACACTGACATCACCATTTAAGGAATACAATTTATTATAGCCTCGTTTACCGACTTTAACTTGATCGTTGACTTTGTTTATTGGTCTGTTATCACAGACACGGAAATAGATTTATGAGATTGCTTAATGAGAGGCTAGGATTGATTCCGATATTAGCTGGTCGAAGACTTGTCCTGTAATAAGAGGCTACAATGTCTTTAAATATCGACGAATCATCCCCATATTCACTAGATCCGCTAAACATTCTAAATTTAGCGTGCATAGCCTGATCTATCTCATGGCTCCGGGTTAGAGCTGTAGTTTCTGAATAGCAGTATTCTTTTAGCTACTACAATACGTTGCAGCTTTAGATGTATTTTACCGTGCTATACTTCCACCTGAGCTACATTCCTGCTTGATAAGCTGCCCGCTCAGTGATCAATGAAATAACCGAGGCCAAAACTCAACAAAATCCTTAATTACGACCCCATGAATACCTAAAACAACGCCTGCAATCTAACACAATTAGCTTAGGAATTACCGACTACATCCTATTCCAAACACTCGTAGTAGTCCAGAGGTCTGTAGATCTGAGTTCCCCAGAATGATGATGGAAAATGGATTTTGTCTATTTTTTACGCTAATTAATATGTGTTAAGTGTGTGTTTCTGGTACTACCTGAGTATATGACTATCTAGCACATTGGGCTCCTCTCTGACCTAGGCCACACCTTGTACAGCGCTCCTATCCTCTTTGGTTACTTGAAAGGTTATTGATATGTTGACCTTGATGAATAGCCATTCAGTTCAGTATTTACCCATGGAATTCACCCAACTTTTCCACGGAACCTTCTACCCCAAAAACATAAAATGGTAGTAATGGAATCTGCGTGCGCGGGAAAAAGTCACAAAAAACCTGCGACCCCAGCCAAGCGAGGCCTAGACACCGGGACCACATGAGGTGCGCATATTCATCTTTATCTCCCTTTTTTGTAACAGTCGAGGCCGACTTGATCCAATCTGTCACCTCCGTATCGGGTGCTGGGTACGCTCCGGAAACTCATCGGATGGCTTTTCCTCCATGATCAAGGGTTGGTGATGAGTAGGACTCCGACCCTACCATCTGATCTGATCGTGGTTAGCTTCATGATAATGATGATAGGGGAATGTATTGAGAGATGAAAACGATATAGACCGCGAAAGCGATTAGGAATCCACGTCGAAGTGAGGGCTTTGTTACCAATCTCGACTCTGCAAAATACAGTGAGAGCTGCAGGTTCTTAGAGGACACCACTGACAGGTTTTGAGAATATTCCCCCTAATATGTGTTGAGCTAAGTAGCTATGATGAATGATCGGTGCCATGTGTACATGTAGGATTACTCTTTTGGCAATAGAGATACTCAATCTCTGGATTCATATGCAAATATCTCTATATTGTGTGTTCGCTTATTTAAGCAGACGACCCTCTCCCGTGAATAACCACATAAATGACGGTTCAAAACCTTTGATTATCTAGGCATGCCTTTGTCATTCGTAAAAACAAGCACCGCGAGAAGTGTAGCTCACTTTTGCCGGATTCGAACCAGCTATCTCCTGCCTCAAGTCGGATAAAATTTCAAGCTATCCAGAATCTATACGAGAGATCGTCCCAGATAACGTGCCACTTCATCTTTCAACCATGGTAGCCCTTACAGTATTGCCTGCACCCTCGCAATCAACGGATTCGTCCACACTATGATCTTAAATTTTTGATTGAACCCTAGTTTGATCATTAAGAAATATTCAGAAGCATTCTAGAAGATATATTTACCCTCTTAGTGTTATTTACCACCAGACAAAAGGAATGAAGCTACCTAGATTGGAGCCTATCGAACATACGCCAGGGGTTTGCGAATTCGTGTTTCTCAACTAAAATTTCTTAGTCGGTTTAAACTGGGTTCCTATCGTATCAATCTTGTTCTATTGCCAAGTTGGCCGGCAACAATTGTTGCCTGCTTTACAGCTCCTGCAAACTTTCCTCTTACTGCACCCTCTTCTAGAACCGTTAGACCACCTGTGGTACATCCTCCTGGACTGCTAACTTTGTCCTTGAGTATAGCGGGGTGTTCTCCCGCGAGGACCATCTCAGCAGTGCCTTTCATAGTCTGTGATGCCATAAGAGTTGCCTCAGCACGAGGTAGGCCCATGGCTACAGCACCATCGATGGCAGACTCGAGAATAAGGGCAAAGAAAGCGGGGCCTGAGCCGCAAAGGGCAGTGGCAACATCTAATTGTGAGGGTGGTAAGTTGATGACGATACCGATTTGTTTGAAGATCCAACTAATGAATGCGGAGGTCGTGGATGGGAGTGGAGGGTTAGAGGTTTCGATGACTGTCATCGATTGATGTACGGCAGAGGCAGTGTTTGGCATAACTCGGACAATACGGCATGTTGTATGACTTGGTATATATGACTGCATTTGCAACACTGTAACACCGGCACAAATGGAGATGAGTACCTTTCCTTCAAGGGCTTCGGCAATTCCATCTTCTTGGAGTATATCTTGAACTTTATTCGGTTTACAGCCGAGGATAATATAATCAGCTAAAGCTATGGCTTCAGTATTGCGACCTTGCATAATTTCCACATTTCCGGAAAGATGACCGAGAGTTTTTTTAATTCTCTCTACGCTCTGAGGTGTGCTGATGCAAGCAATGTATCGTTGGATATTTATATCATGATTCGGTATTTTCGACACATTTGAGTCGATAGAGGATTTGAGAATGCCAGACAGAATGGCCGTTCCTAAATTACCTAAATGGTTCCTTAATTAGAAATTAATCGACAAATTAAGGTAGGAAACAAATTTATTTCGATTATGTTAAGAGTTGGTGACATTTTTCATGATCTGTTGAGGTGAAATCTTAACTTACCACAGCCAAGGATTGCTAATGTGATAGAATTGCTCATACTGAGTTTTGAGATGTTTTAACCCTAATTAATATAGTACAGAGGTGCTGTAATTTGGAAAAGTGATCAAAATGAAATAAGTTTTGTGATATGTCACGAAGTCAGGAGCCCGATATATATGTTGTAACAAAGATTCGGGCTTATTTTCGTTCGTCACCTCGTAAGTTTTGAGCCCGAATTTATTGACTCTGTGTATAAATGACGGCAGATATGAGCGTACAAATATGGGTTGTTGGATGGGGATGGGTTATATTTGATTTGATTGAATTTAAAGTCATGCCTGTCCACAGCTCGTGACTACTGTCACTTGCTGGACGGCCCAGTCCCTTCAGAACTACCAGACGCTCTAGCGCGCACTACAACAACTAGAAATCACAAAAGAGTCTGACCAGCTGTCCGCCCCGAAGGCTGAACACCTGTCAGTGGTGTCCTCTACGAACCTGAGAGTGAAATATTCTCCCAGAGCCGAGATTCAGTCACGACAAAGGGTGAATTTGAGAGTCTTCGTCGAGTTGGCGATCGGGAGGAGTGGTGTTGGCTCATTTTTGGTCGAAAATCCGACTTGCAGAGATTTCACGACTGCACAACTCAACGAAATCAACCATCTACACCCCAGATACGAACCGCAGACAGATTGTAAACCGTCTGATGTTCGTGTTACGACAACCGACACCTTCAAAATCTTATTTTCTTTTTCTCTGGAAATTCATTCTCAGCCAAACTCATCTCGCGGCCCTCTCAACAATCATCTCACAATCCACCTAAGCAACCCCATACCTCAAAAAGCCAAATCGCCAACTAAGAAGCAAGAGGATTTCCGACCCTCCGCAACTGCCAGCCGCTGTGAAGGTACGGTCGAAATACCGGCCTTAAATGCGTCCTCACCTCGGCCAAGGGCACCAACAACTCGACCTACGACGAATTGCCACCGACGAAATACGTACGACATTTTGCCGGCATACCAACTAGAGCGTTTGACAAAGGCTGGGGCGCCGGTGCCTCGGTCTTGAGCTCTCAGTCGCGTTTTCGACCTCCACAGCTAGGGGTACGGCAGCGACGGGGCAAGGCCGGAGGGGTGGACATTCTACAAAGTTTCTTGGATGACGAGATCGGCTGAAGGGCAGAGGGATGCTGTATGAAGGAAATAAAAGGGGATACAACTAAGGAGGCCTTGGTGGGCGACTGGATGAGGCCTCCAGTGAAGAAAACGGCCCCCGGATGAGATGAGGAGATGCTGAGATGAGCCAAAGCTGCGAATTATTCGAAGGGAAAAGTTACAGATGGCGAAGATGTCAAGGCCTCGGGCGCGTGGTGGCCGAGGCTGAGGAGGAATTTGCGCTTCGGCGCGCCAAAAGGGGGTTCTCTGGACGGTTGGGCTTGACATAATTCAACACATGGGTGAAGTCTTAGGTGGTCCGGTCATTTAGGTGGGACGAGGTAGATGTACTTAATGGTAGTTAACCTGATCCAGCCCGGTCCCACCCGTGCTTAAGCTCCAGTAGGAGTGCAACGGGAATTACTTTACCTAGTACGTAAATGAACAAGAGAAAACAAGACAAGACAGCTGTCCGCCCCCATTTTCAACGACACTTTTGGCTGCCACAACCACATTTTTTTTTCACGCTCTAAGTGACGAAATCATATACCATCTACGACCTGTTACAGTCATAAATATTTTCACCTACTCATGCCGCCCCAGTCCTCCGCAGAGGCTGGCTCTTGGCCCCCTCTCCCACCCGTAAATTAGACGCGTCCTGACGTCGAAATGGCCCTCACAAGGCCACCCAACCATCCCCATACTACACAAATAAACGCAGAGACCATCTGCGTGGTGAGCTGCCAATACTCGCCCCCGAACCAAACCGAGTCATGAGGTGTCACTATGACTAACTTCCTCGCAGATGAAGCGAGGGCTTTTAATTTACGCTTCGCAGAGGCTGAGCGTATCGTCAGTGGGTACATTAACCTACTGGCTGCTACAACCGACATATAGCTCCGACGCGCTGTCGAAAAGAACGGAGAGGCTTTACAGGCCACTATTACAAACATCCTGCGCGGAAACCCCCAGCCCCTATCCAGTGGGCCATCAGAGGCTACCAGTAGCAGCAAGACTACAACCCATCCGGCATTAGCTACTAAGTCAGTGGGAAAGAATAACGCGAGCACTCCACGACCAGTGCAAATTCTCGCCAGAGAAAGCAGCAGCCAGGCGAAAGGCAAAGAGCTGGCCTCCTCAAAGCCTACTAGGCAAGTCGAAGGCGACGATCCCAATATCACCAACACCACTGAGAGATCCTGGACTCAGGTGGTCAGGAGAAAGCCAAAGCCTGTACATCCAGTGGCTTCAACATCGACAACAGTCAATGGATCCCAGTCTAAAGCAACTGGGCCTACACAAGCGCCTAAGCCAAATACCCCCGCTTCCAAGCCGGCACGCCCTGACGAACGTGTGTTCCTGCGGGTCAAGCCCGACCAATCATGGAGACGCATGTCTCCTCACTACATAAAAAGAAGCCTCGCAAGCAAGCTTCGCTTGGCTAACTCTGCAATCAAGCAGGTCACTGTCGTCAACTCAGGGTTCGCGATACAAGCTGAAGGAGATGCAGCAAGAAACGCGCTCCTCTCGGGTGTCGTGCTCTTGGATAGCACGGAAATGAAACTGGAAGCTGCTTCCAACTGGATCTCGGTGCTAGCTCCAAATGTACCTGACAGGCTCTACACTCTGGAGGGACCAACGCCAGTCACACCGGAGATGGTGATGGAAAAAGCGACTTTAAAGACGGGCATAAGACCGACCTTGGCTCGTGCGTTCGCGACAAGCATGGCAAGGCCATCAACCGACTGGGTGCTGCATTTTGCAACCGGTAAGTCAAAACTGTGTGAGCGACTTTTCGAAGAGAGCGGTCGCCTACACGAGCTCCAGCGCAAGGCCAAAATTGCGCAATGCAACCGATGCTGGGGACATCACCCAACAAAGATTTGCTCACGGGCGGAGCGATGCTCACGATGTGGATTGATCGAGCATAAAGCATCTGTCTGTAAGCAGACCATCCCAAGGTGCATGAACTGCCATGGGCCATATGCAGCCATCGAACCTCACTGCATGGCTAGACCAACCCGGGTTCGCGGCAAAACGGTGCAGCGTACTTAAGACCAGCTATCGGTTATACGCGAGCAAGGTCAAAAGGAACGGAATGCTTCAATCCGAGAGATGGAAGCAAAGCAGAAAGCCACCGAGGCTACTGCCGACAACGAAGCCACTAACGTAACTCAATGCCCGTAAGGGACCACAACCCTACCGAGCTCTACACCACGGCAACTACGATCTCGTTCCTCTATGCTAATTTGGGCAGAGGAGACCCCGCTACGGACATCATCCTGCAATCCGCTTGAGATTCAGGAACCGATGTCCTCCTTATCCAGGAACCCTGGACCCAACACAAGTACGGCTTCTGGCTCACTTAGTCGCATCCCGGATTCGATAGGCATTTGCCTCCCCGTGTCGCTGCCAACTCTTCAAGGCCACGCTCCCTCATCTACACGCGAAAGGGGATCAACTGCCAACAGCAAGCAATCTGTGAGACATCACCAGATCTCACTGCAGTAAAGGTAGAAGGAGTCACATTTATCTCCGTAAACCGCGCTCCTGGAGCAGACCTTTTGCCGCTGCTATCATGGGCCCCATCTGGGCCTACAGTTATTGGCAGAGACTTCAATGCTGTTCACACCGACTGGCAGCCAATGGTTACTAGGCTACACGGCGACGGCCAGGTGCTCACCGAGTGGATGTTCGAGCACGGTATGGACCTATCTTCCGCACCGGGCGTCCTGGCCCACGATCTCGGAAACACACTCGACCTAGTTTGGTCTAACGCTGGCGCATTTGCAGATGTTTCGGTAGAGCTTGACTCGACATCGGATCATAGAACCCTTGTAGGAGACGTTCCCCGTCCAAACTCGAAAGCCAGAGCTGTAATCAAAACTGGTCAACCAGTCCGAGTGACAGACGACGCCCTCGAAGACTTTGCCAAGGTGCTTAGTAGATGGGCTCATGGAATAGGGCTACAGCCAATGGACTCAATAAGCGCGGTAGACAACCTTGCAGATAAGCTGGTTCAAACCATTAGCGATGCAATCAGGGCTACTGGAAGACGTGGGGGTGCTAAGAAGGGTAGGACGGCACCTTGGTGGACGTTGGAGTGCTTACAGGCCAAACGCGAATACAGAACATTCAGGGACGAAGAGAGCAGAAAGGATTTCCGTCGCATAGTCAGAAGTGCGAAACGCCAGTACTGGTGGCGGAAGTTCTCTGAAGCCACAACTGACGTCGACATGTATCGGATGGCAAGCTGGGCAAAGCCGCGACTTACATCCGCTGCTCCACCACTTTAAACTCCCGACGGTTTTGTTTCGGACCCAGGAAAGCGTGCACTTCTGTTGCGCGACCTCCTCCTCGGCTGGTTCACTAGCCAAAATGACGTCGAAGCTGAGAACCTCGAGCCAGGACTCGGAAACCTTCCATGGGTCTCAAGCGTCACGGACGAAGAGGGCAAGTGGGTCACAACGGCTTGCCAAAATAAAGCCCCTGGAGCGGACACAATTTCTGTTCGTCTTCTTAGGACAGCCTGGCCGTCAATTGGACAAGCAGTGAGAGTACTCTTTGAGGGCTCACTTCGACTGAACCACTTCCCGAAGGCATTCAAGCTAGCCGAAGTGATTCTCCTCCCCAAGCCTGGCCGTAATCTAAGTACAGCTAAAGGATGGAGGTCCATCGCACTACTCTCTTCTCTCGGCAAGGGTCTTGAGAGACTAGTTGCAAGGCGAATGGCTTACACCGCCATTTCGTACAAGGCTGTACCGCAGCAGCTTTTTGGAGCACTCTCCGGCAGATCCGCTAACGACCTCGTCTCATGCGTCATCAAAGATGTGGAGCATGCAATGAAGAGGCAGAAGAAAGCAGTCCTTGTCACTCTGGACGAACAGGGTGCATTTGACACTGT